AAAGAAGTCAGTTGCCATTATCTGTTCGCTAGCAGGGCAGAGCACAATGACCGCCTAGACAAGCTTCCGATGCGCTCAGTTTTCCAACTTGGGCGTTGAAATCACCTGAGAGAGCAACTTTATCGGAGCTTTGGCTCAACGGAATGAGTTTGGTGAGTGTGTCATAAAACTCGTCTTTTTGTGCGTCAGAACTGCAGTTGGTCGGAGCATACGCTTCCCTTCCGGACGCTAATAGACCTTTGGAGCCGCACGCACCTAAGCAGCTGTTGACGGGGAACCAATTGAGAAGTGCGGCTTCGACTGTATTATTCGGTACAATTTTCACACCACGCTGGCCTACTGAACGGGCTTCGTCATCGCCTGGCGTGCGGAGGAAGAACCTCGAAGACAACCCCGGTGCACTTAAGTGGCATATAGTACTAGGATCCTGAATTCGAGCCTCCGGCACGCAGCACAGATCCATTCCCATGACCCATTCCTTTGGACGAGGTCCATCGTCGATACCCAATCGAGTCGGTGATCATTACCGTAATCAGGAAGGATATATATATACTCCGATACCTGGCCATTCTCACATGTTGTCCCCTCACCCACTCCCACTACTCCTGTTTTTTGGTTCTTATTTCAATTTGTACCTCTTGGACTCACTTCAGCAATGACTATTTTTTTCTCCTTGTTTTTGATGGTAATCCCGATTGTCGCATATATTGACAGTTCTGTCTCATTCGAAGAAACACTTTCAGCCGAATCTCCTGATGCGGTGAAAAATGCAGTCTGCATTTTATACTTAGCTTTGGGGTTTTTCAAAGCACATTTGACTCGTAATCTAAACCTCAAACTGATTGTATAAATGCTGCATTGCTTTTTGCGTTTTTTTTTAAATTTCAGGTGCTGTTAGAAGCGCAAGATCTGGCCACACAAGCTCGTGAAGAGTGGCGTTTCACCGATCTAGCCACATTTACACTCATATGTCGACAGTGTCAGATGCCACTGACTGGTCAGTCTGGAGCTCAACAACACGCGAAAGAGACGGGCCACACGAATTTCAGTGAAATTCCCACGACGTGAATTCCAGATTGTGCCTGTTTGATTGAAAGAAGATAGTATGAACTCAATTGTCATATCGCCTTCAATCTGTTTTTTGGTCTGCCCAGTCCGTTTCTTCGCCACACCGGATGCATACGTATACGTGGACATACACACATTGGAAAATATGTGATTAGTCTTCTCGTCGGCAACTCAAGTGCTGTCTGATTGCCTGTCCGTCCTACCAAAATGAGATATGTGCTCATTGTAACCTTGTTTTCTTACACACCTAGATCCTTGCACATAAATCCGCGATTTTGTCTGTCCCCGATTTCCATCTTTTAGCTTTTTCACAATCAACTCATTCTTCAGCGTACTTACATCCAATACCAACCCCACTACCCTGCACACAATCACACTAAACACAAGTGGTTGTGACAAGAAGCCATCTGTCATATAAACTGACTTTTTTAATTGCTGGCGAAATCAGGTAATCTCAAGCTATCGCCTGCACAGACCCTTGTGTGACTTGCCTGCTGTGTACCGGCGATTTTCTTTTCTCCGGTGAATCTTCCTGCGTAGTTGTTTTATTTCCATTGAGCACACTTAAACGTTTTGGGTGTTATCGAAGTATTGCTGTTAGCCGATCGATCAATGGAGGTCTGTTACTTGGTTTATCAGCTGATGCTGGCTGGTATCGTTATTGTACTTTATAGGTACACTGTTGATGGATGCCTTCGTTGGCAGTTGTTTCACAATGTAGATGTGGTTTCTTTTTTTCCAGTCTTTTCTCGATATCAGTCTAAGTGCTGATTCCAAAGTGGGAAACTGGTCAAAATTGACACACACGAGCACATAAAAAGACCCATTTTATGTCTTAATTTTCATGATAGTGCTAATTTCACCATTGGCTCGCGGAAAGATCTCACTAACTTTCTCTTGGTCACTCCCATGGCACAGCCCGTTTGCTGACGCAATACATCAAGTTCTACTGATCTCTTTGTTCATCTTACGGATTGTTCTTTATCCTTATTACGGTCGAAAGAACGTATTACCATTAATTATTTTCAACAAATGAAACTCAAAATTCATTTGGGTAAAGTCTTTCTGGTGCGTCTCACTACCAATTTTTATTCAATAATCAGTTCATTTGGTTGTGAATTATTCTCATTTATAATTTAGTTTTACCAGTTGAAAGCCCTTTTCTGAATTCGGTTCAAACTTCTCAGCACACCATTTTCGTGATCCTGGTGAATAGAACCTGCGCGAGATAGTCTTATCGATTCCTGTTACTATCAGTTTGTCAGTAGTGTGGTTCTATATCCATATGTTTTCTGAACTACGTAAATGACCGTGTGCCTCGTCGTTCCTGACATCCACGTCGACTAGGACATCATTAAATTTAACCTCTAGTCATCATCGTCATTCGTCCTTACAATTGAAATGTGCACGGGTTTGCGTCGTCACTTTGGTGGTATCAATTTATCAGACTGTTCAATGTGCATACAATCCAGCCTTAAGAATTTCTAATTCTGAGGCTTGCATTTTCATTTTAACCTGGGAGAAAATAGTTTACAATCGTTTAAATAAATTGTGGCCCGATGAATTCATGTATCTTTTCGTCCCGATAAATTCAGTCCCCAATCTATTCTAGGGGCCATGCTTCCACGAAGAAACAGAAATATTTCCAATAGGCGTTGTTTCTGAATCCTTCAACAAATCATGTATGAGAGTTGCCCAATCAAATGTCTCTTACCAATTGGCGAAATAACAAATCGGTGTGTTAAATAATCAAATTTACTTATCATGCCTATCGATATATTTTTTTACCTCGAATATGTTACGTTTTGTTGCGTTATGGTCTTGCAAACCCTAATCCGAACACAGCTTCGAGCAACCAGCGTATCCCTTTTCCCAGTAAATTCGCAAAGGAAAAAAGCTTGTATTCGAATCCTGATGTCATTCAACGCCTCTTTGTACTACTATAACTAAATGGGTGGTTCACTAGTTAAAACCTTTTTTCATACGAAACGGTTCCTTATATGCGTTATTATTCGGATGGTGGTGTATGCAACTAAGAAAAACGGTGTAGAGATTCTTGTTAGTCCCATTTCCTGTGTGTGACGAGTTATTCGAGTGGTTTAACTCCAGGGATGCTGGCGATGATAGAGATCAGAAAACAGGAAAAATTGGCGTTGGGTTTTCTTCNTTGTCCTCAAGCTCGGAATACATGCCTTCATACTGTAATCCGCTCGGTCTCAAGATCGCTATGCAGCTGATCGACAGCAGTGGAACATCGAACAATATGGCGGAAAATAATAGTGCGAAACTACTGGGCAAACTGTTCCATTCTTTTCTCAATTATTACCTCGAATTTTTTACCTTGTCCAAAATGCGCTGCATATCGGTAGTTGGCACAGCACAGTATGGTGTTCTGTGACCTCCCCTCTCGGAATCCTCCAGCTTATCTTTCTGCGACTGAATTCTCGATTCCGATCTTACCGATTCCGGTAAATAAAATCTCTGTAGTAGACAGTTTCTCACTCAGTTGTCTCCGCAGCTCGCTAAAAGTGCGCACCGTGTTGGTTGAGCGTCCCTAATGCTATTGATCAATATCCTCGAATTGGCATTCCATGTCGTTCCGACACTTCGCCGTAGTGTATTTTTCATCATCAAATTGTCAGTCCACGGGTCGGGTCCAACCCTTTTTTACCCAGCTTCCCGAGTTGCACGTGTGTGGATATTTTTAGTATCTCGAGCGTACTTGTTGCATATGAAAACAAAAGTTATCTGATAAATGTCACGATACAAACAAAGATTGAGCCTACATCTTTTCTAGTACTTTTATAAGGCACACAAGACGGGACATCTAATCAATTCTCACACTTGCGCCTAAAGCGAGTGGCCTGAAAAACATCCGGTCCTCTAGAGTTTGTAGGCGGTGAATCGATTTGCTTCTCTCTGAATGATCTGGTCTCGCTCTCCATTAGATGCGTAATCGATTGGTTTCTATCATAACAAGCCGCGACTTTCATACGGAACGTAAGCATTTATGTTTTCGTTCAACCGCCGCAACATCAGATGAAAGCATGTTCGTCCAGGTTCGGGGACCGTATTGTAATTTTCTAACTGTACATGTTATGCTGTAGACCCGGACGAATGTTTCATCTCATCCGCTCATGTTTGAATAAGTTGCGGTGACTACTATTGGATGCTCCAAAGTCTCAGTGCCAGAGATGTATCGTGTGCCGCGGTTGCAACACGCATTTTTCTATAGAGAAAACAGGATTGTAGTCTCACATGGCAACCAACCATATATTGACGCTATACTTTAAAATGCAACATGATAGCAGTTTCACTTGGCCATTATTTTGGCAAGTTCTTATTCCACGTACAGAAATCCATAACGCGTTCAATAAGGCTAAATTCTCTTATCACTGGTACCCTTTTTGAACGATACATAATNACATAATGTAACAACCCAGGAATAGACACCTTATCGTTTTCCATTCATGACGAATGTGCCTAATGAGGGATGTATTTACGTAGTGAAATCAGGTATTAGTTTTGCATTTGAATTTACACACCAGTAGTATTGGAAATAGGCAATTTATCTGCATATATGCGGGTATCGATCAAACTCCTGCAGCGCACTGACTTTCATCACATTCTTTCCTCCCAACGCTTAGTTATTCCAGCCTCATTAACGGGATTTAATATTTTAATTCCTTATATCAAACGCAACTTACCTGTAATAATATCCACTTATGTTTCCGCCTCTGTTAACCAAATGCCATTAAAATGCAAGATTTCTCGATTTTGACGATGATTGCAGGTGCATCAAAGCCACAGCAAGAACATAACTAGAGTTTATTTATCGAAATGACTCAGACATGTATTGCACCTTCTTGTTAACAGTCTTCGAATTGCCCTTCTTCATGTAGATTAGGTGTTCAACCTAATAAAGAATCCCATGTAACGGGAATCATTTATCAGAATGAGTGAATTTCCATACTGCTTTGCATAAAATATTTTCCAAATCTGAGTTGCAACTTTCGAACTACTACAAATTTTCTCACGACATTGAAGGTCGAGCAAATTCAAACTGTGATAGAAATGACCTGAGAACATCGAAGTGAGAGATAATGTGCGAAATAT